GGGAAGATTTGTCAATGGCTTTTATCACAAATTTGCCAAAGAGTGGGACTCAATCTGTTATATTGGTAGTGGTTGACAAGCTATCAAAATATGCTCATTTCTTTGCACTATCACATCCATATACTACTCAATCAGTGGCCCAAGTGTTTTTTGAGGGAGTATTCAAGCTCCATGGCATGCCTAAATTTATAGTAAGTGACGGGGATCCCTTATTTACCCATCTATTTTGGAAAGAATTATTCAAGTTGCAAGGGAGTCAACTTAAATTCAGTTCAGCATATCATCCTCAAAGTGATGGCCAGACTGAGGTAACTAACAAAAATTTAGGATGTTTCTGTTGTCACAAGCCTGAAGGGTGCAGCAGAACAAATGAAGAAGTTTGCTGACATACATAGAAGTCACAGAAGCTTTAATGTAAGGGAACTAGGTATTCCTTAAACTCCAACGTTACAGGCAAATCAGTGTGTCTTCGTACAAACCTCACAAGCTCTCTCCCAAGTATTATGTAACTTATCAGGTTTTAGAAAAGATAAGAGAGGTTGCTTACAAATTAGCTCTTCTAGCACAAGCTCAAATCCATCCAGTTTTTCATGTCTCTCAACTCAAATAGAGAATGGGATCTAATGTTGTCCTTCAAGCTGATTTCCCTAGTTATGTGATAGAAATAGTTGATGAACCAGAAGCAATTTTGGACAGAAGATCAGTCGTCAAGGGGAATCGCTTGATATCCCAGGTTCTCATCAAATGGAAGCAGCGCACTCCATTGGATTTCACATGTGAATCTTACCGGGATCTTGTTAAAAAGTTTCCTACATTTGACCTTGAGACAAGGTCCAAATTAAGGGGAGAGAATTTGTCAGGAACTGAGGGTCAGTCGACTGCAGGAACTGAGAATCAGTCGACTGATTGCTGATACGCGAAGGACAGATACGCAAAGCATTTGGACGCAGAGGGGCAGATATGTAAAGACTTTTAAACACGGGGTCTTTGTAATAATTGTTTCCTGTTCGATTAAATTGTTTTCTATTTTTTCTGATACAAACTATTTGTGCACGTAACTGTTTGTGCACGTTTCTGTAACTCTCTAGGATCTGATTTGTAAGAAGACGCTTTGTATAAATAGGAGAATGGGAACATCATGGAGGTTATGAATGAAATAGAAATTTCTTTTCCTCAACTCTCAATCTCTGCCTACATCCTTCCTCAATTTCTTCTACAATTCCTTCTCAATAGAGTTGCGATCTCAGACATGGCCAGAAATGGAGCTAGGAAAGTCAACAGAGGTTCCAGGACCTCTCAAAATCACGATCAATACCTAAAGGGTGCAATCCAAGTAAGCTGACCATACTCCCCTAGGCGCTCTCACAACCAAGATGCGCAGGCTAGGTACTGCCTAGGCGCTAGGTAGGCGGCCAAGGTACGGCTTAGGCCTATGCGCTTTTTAAAATACTAGTACGGTGCACGTGCTTTGCACGTGTGTCCATTTTCATGTTTATATGTAGGCTATAAGTGCGCATTGCAATGATAATTTTATGTATCTAATGTATAGTTTTATTATATAATAGTATTTCAAATTAGTTTGATTTGCATTAACACTTTATTAGATATCAAATTAGTTTTTCCAATCATAAAATTTATACATTTTATTTAGGATAAATTTCACAAATGCCCCAAGATAAAACCCTCGAATTTTTAAAATGTCACAAACTCTTTAAGTTTTAAGGTTCTCAGAAAACCACATTCAAACCTCAAAAGCGTGAAACACAATTTTCATTGGCAAAAATATCAACCTGCATAATTTTACTCATGTGTGAAAAAGTACGAAGCAAGGATTATTGTCATTAAGAAGGATTTTTTGAAAATTGTTGAAAGTTTAAGGGGATTGAGATCGCCAAAGATCCTTTTTTTTTGGGGGGTAGGGTTATGACATTTTGTAAGTTAATGGTTTTATCTAAGAAATGACCAAATTTAAGGGGGTTTTCTAAAAGCCTAAAAAAACACTTAAATACCTTATATTTTCATCTTTCTTAATCTTATACACCCCAAATTGTAAAAGTTTACAATTACATACCCAGCCTGTTTAAACATGGCAAATTAGTATATTATGTGACTTGAATGTCTGAGTATTCGCATGTTCTACTCACATGTTAATTATGGCTTTGTTTTACCCTAATTGATTTTTTTATTTATATTTTTACCTACCTTTTTATAATGAGAGGAGGCTAATTTCAGCCAAGGGTAATTTGGTCTTAACCCAAAAAATTTAACTCAATTTAGAAATTTTAATAGAAAAAATTGGTATTAATAATATATATATTTCTCCTTCATTACCTTGTTCTTGATCTAAATTGAAGTTGAGCTATGATTTAACTATTTTACAAGAAACAACATTGGTAAAAAAGAAACTTATAACACGGGTTAAGAAATCTTAATTAGCTAATAATTTGTTTTGATAAATCCAAAGAGATGTATGACCTAATTCTTCGCCCCCCATGGCCATGCCATTCATTAGCCTTTTGAGATGATACTTTAGGGTTTCGAATTTTATTATTAATTCATTATTCGCATAATTTTACTAAACTGATAGCCAATTTAGTAATCAAAGTATTCTTGACTTGCTATTGTACCGAAAAATTTATGATATGAGTAGATATATGTGAAAAAATAGTCTTATATCTCTCCTCTCATTACCTAGTTATTGTTCTAGATCGATATTCGCAATAGTTTAATGGATTACAGTAAACAACATTGACATAGAAGAGAATTTTTTTTCTAGATCGATATTCGCAATAGTTTAATGGATTACAGTAAACAACATTGACATAGAAGAGAATTTTTTTTTAAATAAACCTAATAACTCAAGTTCAAAAATTTCTTACTTAGCAAATAACTTATTCTAATTTGTTTTGAAATGCTAGTTTATTGACTCAAAATTGTTAGTACATTTCCCTCTTATTTTTCTTTGTTAACAAAATGCTGCATGATTATGGTTAGAGAACAAAATAGTATACGACAATGTATAGAAACTTTAATTATTATTTATTAAATGAAGGCTAAATACCCATATTGGTATTATAATTCAATCCCATTTGCCAAAAAGGTATTTTAAATAAAAAAATCGGCGTTAAGGCATTTTAATTGATTAAAATTACCAATTAGGTCCTTTTTTCTCGTCGGCGATCACTTTTCCGGCGAGAACTCGTCACGTGCGTGGCACGTGATGACTTAATCTGTATAAATACCCATATTGGTATTTTAATTTAACCCCATTTGCCAAGAAGGTATTTTAAATAAAAAATCGGCATTAAAGCATTTTAATTGATTAAAATTACCAATTAGGTCTTTTTTCTCGTCGGCGACCACTTTTTCGGTGAGAACTCGTCACGTGTGTGGCATGTGATGACTTAATCTGTGTTTTAGTTGATGATGTGGCTCGGTTTTCTGATGTGGCTCGGTTTTAGCTGCTGATGTGGCTTAATCACAATTTAAGTCCAAAACGAACCAACCTGAACCCTAAAAATTTCAAAACAAAGATCAAACTTCCACGCATTCACTCCAGATCTCAGATCCAACTCAATTATCTTACCTTTACCGCTAACAGAAGCAGCCAAAACCCCCGATTCCAGGAACTTCTAGAAGAAAACGCCATGGGAATTCGGAGAGAAGAGAGTGAGAAGACGAAGATCACTGCAGACTAGATTGCCGCCGGCGCGGCCATGGATCGATGCAAGAGAAAGAGGTTCTATTTATACGGTAATTTCTCCACGAATTTTTCGCTAATTTTTTTACCAATTTTAGAAATGGGGGATTTTAAAATGCATCGACTCTTATTCTTCCTGCCACTACCACGTCAGAAAACCGGTTGAATTAAAATGCACGTGACCAGTTCTTGCCGGAAAAGTGGTCGCCGACAAGCAAAAAAACCTAATTGGTAATTTTAATCAATTAAAATGTCTTAACGCCGATTTTTTATTTAAAATACCTTCTTGGCAAATTGAGTTGAATTAAAATACCAATATGGGTATTTATACAGATTAAGTCATCACGTGTCACGCATGTGACGAGTTCTCGTCGGAAAAGTGGTCGCCGACGAGAAAAAGGACCTAATTAGTAATTTTAATCAATTAAAATGCCTTAACGCCGATTTTTTTATTTAAAATACCTTCTTGGCAAATGAGGTTGAACTAAAATACCAATATGGGTATTTAGCCATTAAATGAATCACTTATTTTTACATCATCTCTAAAAAAGGGCAAAAAATAATTGAACACCATAGATCTTAGTGTGTAGCAATGCTGATCAAGAAAAGAACATGAAAATTATAAAGATCGTAGAGAAAGTGAGCTCGAAAATACCAAAGTCGTAAGCAGCAAAGAGAGCTAGATTTGGCTCTTTTCTTCTCAATCTAAATTTTAATTACAAATTGGAATGTTGATTGGAGAAATTTGATAAAAGTTTCTTGTTATTTACAGTGATTTGGTAGGAGAGGAATAGTTGTAACGTTTTTTTATCATTAGTGCACATAAAGTTATGTTAGTGTATCATGAGTTAGTGGAGGAGTGTTATGAGTGGGTGATTAATTGAAAAATTGATGGCAATCAATTGAGAGGTTATGAAAAATTGAGCATGTATGCCTTCATGTCTGTATGCATGGATGTGCAAGCATTGAGGAGGTTATAAAAAATTAAGCATGTATGTATGAATGGATGTGCCGAAGAGCATTTTGGTAGAAATGTTTTAACATGGCAACTCACTTTTATAATAGTATTAGATTGCTTGTCTAAAGAGATTGCACAGCTTTACCCTAAAATGATGCAGATTTGCAACTAAGTCCAGGATTTTTAACTTTCATAAACTAAACCCCAAATATGATTTCATTACACTACCTGCATAATAATCCATAATAACATTTCTTTCACTAATTTATTTAAAACTTCATCTTTCCAGTGGCAGGGACATAAAACTCAGCCAAAAATTTTTGATCTTCCAAGTCAAATTACCTCTTTTCGAATCACTGCAAGAAGAAAATTTTTCACTTGATACCAAACCCTAGTTCTGCTCGAAATCCGGGATCAAAGAAATCGAAGTTGATCGACGTTGGAAGATTTGGGGAGTGATTGAAGAAGCTCTCTCTCGCTCGATCTCTCTCGACGTTTTTTTGAAGGATTTTGGAGGTGAGAGCAACAGATCGAACATTTTAGGATCTCTGGACTTTTACGTTAGAAAACGGCCTGAACTTGTCGCGGGCCCCGCGTCGCCCTAACCCAATTTATTTTGGGCCCGGATAGAATGGGCCTCAAGCAGATTCCAGCCTGTTTCAGAACCAGAAGGTTTCTTGTTGGTAGACCCTTTACGCTCTACACGTTTTGTGGACGGACAACCCCAAATCTGTTTTTCCGGATAGAGCCCTTATACTATCGCCAAACTTGGAGACAGAGAAATTATTCTGCTCTTTTTACCCTCGGGTAAAAGAGTTCAAAAAAAAGTTCAATCAAGAAATCTATCTGCAATAATAGAACTGCGATAGATTCATGTGCAGGTGTTGAGGGCTATTCGGTCGGTATTTTAAAAAGATAAAATTGGTTTCCACGCTTGCCACGTCAGCTTTGGAAATCTTAGTCCAAAAAAGGTTTACATTTATTCTGTTTAGTTTACTTGATAAGTTTATGTGAAAGAGGTTTTGAAAAGCTCCCTCTTATTAGATTTTTTATGAAATCCATTTCAGCCTTAAACCATCTCAAACGGATTTCAAGTCATGAAATAGGTTTCACGATTTATTTTTATTTTTATTTTTTTTGGGTAAATCAACCAAACAACACTTAATTTGAAAGAAACGCACAACAATTGGGGCTTGTTTGTTACAAGGATAAAGTGGGTTAAACTTTATCCTCCTAAACTTTCTCCTACCTTTACTAATACTAGGCGGAATGCTCGTGCAATGCCCATGGTCAAAATTTATAATTGTTGATTTTTATTTTATGTATTTACTATTATGGTGTTTTCAGTCACCAAAGTGTGGCCCTTTGTTAACGACGGATAGGTGTCCCCCCTGCATGCACCGCTCAAATCAGATTGACGGTCAAAGCAACCAATGATCCTGACGTAGCCAACCCGTCGAGTCGACATCTCCTTATGTCGACACGAATGCCAGTACTTGTCGATCCTCTTGTCGAAGACAAGTCGTAGCGAGCTCACTCGACCAGTTACTCGACGCCTCGCGAGGTCGACTCGAAATGCGTTACATCTCGGCGAAGCTAAAGGACGACTTCAACCTTGAGCCTCTCCCACTGACAACATGTTAGCGTCGCATTTAATACTTGTCAGGCGCATCATACCTCTAGCCTCGGTAGTCTTCATGACTCATCGGACCACGTCAGCACCGTCATGTCTCCAATCACTTCTCATTGAATGCTGAGTTGATCTCTCCTCCACTCGCCGACCGGCACATGTAAAGTAAGTACTGACGCAGCCGCCGGCTCATACTTACTCACCGCCATCATGTGCTCAACCGAAGTGTCCATTCTACCCTTCCATTACCAATATAAATAGAGCTACTATTCTTTACTAAAGGAGGATTCTGCTTTTTGATCTGATCTTAGATCTTTTACTAATAAGCAATAACTGCACTACACATAAGAACTCTCACAGTTATTTATCTTACACACTCAAGTTCACCAGCTGACTTGATCGTTGGAGCTACAACAGGGTAACCAAGCACTGTCCTCTCACGAATTTCTATTTGTGCAGGCTGAAAGTCACTCTACTCAAGACTAGATATTCAGAGAAGTGAGCGGCCCCTCATCAACCTCACCATTACATATATTTGATTGTTTGGTTACCCATCATCAACATTTACTATAACATAGTTGCAAAACGTTTATGATTATCATATTATATTAAAAAAATTTAGATATTTCAATATATAAAATCTTGTTGGTTTTAATATTTTACCTTCCACACAATTAGTAAGGTTTAAAGTCTTAAAATATTAATGATCTAAGAGCAATTTAATAATTTGGAATTCTAATTTTAAAATATTAATAATGTAAGCACCAATATCTAAAAAACTATTACTATTAATGAAAAGTTAAATCTTGAATTCATCAACGTAAAATGATAGATTTTATCTGGTCATAGAGGATTTTGTTTAATTATAAAGAAATCACTCACACTTAATGTCTACTTCCACTTTCTATTATCTGGCGACCGAGTATTATAGATATTTAAAAACTTTTTTCTAGAATTTTCAGAGTTAGAATGTGCAAATTCAATCAAGAAAGAAACTATAAATTATGTGATCAACTCCAAAATCTGATATTATAATATTCCTACATCTTCTCAATTAATTAACTAATTTCTCAAAATGATTATTCTCTAATTTCATAAAACTATAAAATATAACCTAAGAATGATTTAAACATATTTTGTACACATATGGATTGTATTTTAACAAGATAATTTAGATATATCAAATATTGAATAATATCCAAAAGTTTAGGTTAAAGAGTTAAAAGAATCTACTAACACTCATATCCAAACTATATACTTCATAAAGGTGAGAGATATATGTTAGACCCTAGAGGGGGGCGATTAGGGTCTTATGCTAATCTAATTCGATTTTATGCCAATTAAAATTAATTAATAAATTATTCTTATAAGATAGATATACAATATGTTACAAGTAAGAATAAGCAATATGAACAAAGGGATATATCCTAGCAATGAGATATATGGTAAAATATATGTAAGGATATATAAACAACACAAGGGTAAACAATCTAAACTAAAGATACAATTGTGATAGGACAATATAAACAATGCAAACACATAATATGATCACGGAGTTCGGACATTCCATCATACGTCTCCGTTCCCCACTCCCGGGGAGAAATTCACTATCACAATCGGGTTTTCTACGCTTACCCGAACAACGTTTACACCTCACACTTAGTTTTCTAGCTAATCGAAAACTTTATAATCACCACTCTTGCAATCCCATTCTACACCCTCTCAAGTGTTGGTCATATACGTGTCTCCCTCAAGTGTTAGGAATTACAACCTCTCTCTGGATATGTTACCTACCCCACTCCTCTTAGGATGATCCCCAACTCACACCACACACTTCTCTCGGTATACAAGTGTATTACAAAGTGATCTCACAAATTAAGCATGAATACAATAATAGTTGTTCTCTATAATGGATGAGAACTCAATTAAGCACAACTCAGTGTTACAAACTCTTACAACCCCAATTATACTATATATCTAAATACTATAAGCTCAAAGTGGGTGTGTGTAAAAATGAAAATAAATAAGACTTAACTCAAGAAGAACTAGCAATAAAATTGATATAAAATACAATAGTAAAAATGCTAGGAAATAGAGTTAAGGAAACTTTTCTATAAACACAAAGAGAGGATGATGAAATATTAAAGATGAACTCTTCAATAACTGATGTAAGCTCCTCTTTGTAAAACCCCAAACTTAAAACAAACTAACCAAGCTTAAACCCTTATTAAACTTTTGTTTTAAAAACTTGGATCTTTTGAAAGATGAGAGCAAGGGGGTTTTTATAGCCTCCCAAAATCTCAGTCAAAACCCAACAAAAGACCAAAAAGCTCATAGAAAACATCTACAGAAAATAACCGTTGGAAGCCAACGGATACTTTGGCGGTCGACCGTGAAATTCTCGCGGTCGACCGCGAGGCATATTCAAACCTGAGAAAATTTCCAGAGAAAGCTACGGTCGACCGTGGAAACTTAAGGACTGACGGTCGACCATCACGGTCGACTGCGAAAGTTTCTACTGGCTCCTGAGGAAAAAACATAGGCGCAGTCGACCGTGACGGTCGACCGTGAATTGATACATGAAAATACAGGTTTGAAAACTCTTTTTTGATTTTGAAACTCTGTTTAAAAATATCAAACAAATTCAGAAAAATATAAAATTTTGGGAAATGATTGTAGACATGATAATAAACATACTACAATAACTGGTTTTCAAAAAGGACCTCCCAAATGTAAAATATCATCATTTTACAAAAAGAGTCCAAAACATGAAAATGTAAACATATGAGTTTTGACATTTTAGCTTAACCATGTTTTGAAATATTACAAAATGATTATATAGACTTAATAAAATATGTATACGATTGTTATTAAGTCCATAAACCAATAAAACAATATTTTCATAAAATTGCATATTTTGCAAACATTTCAAAAGTAAATATGATTTCATTGAACTAAAAACGTGTATGTGTGTATATGATTAAGCTTAAAGTACTAACACACATAATATAAAACCTAAAACTAAATATATTTAAGCTTGATCTTGATCTTCAATAGCTTGACTTGGTAATCTTGCGGATGAAGCTTGAACTTGGATCTTGAACTTGAATTGCATTGCTTCAACCACTATATCCGCCAACCTCCATTTGATATGATCGTTATGGCGCAATCCATCCAACCTCCAACATATTGTTTGTTTATAATAAATAAAAAAATACAAATACTAGACAAATAATATTAGATGTAAATTGTTTGTTAAATTATCATCAAAACAAGAAGACCAACAATATAAATTGAACAACTTAATTTATTTTATTAAATAATTTATTACAAATCATAAAAGATAAGGAGAACCATAAAGATCACATAGCCATCCCAAATAAAGTTTAAATTTCTCTTTGTGAATTTTATAGTAAAATATTTTCAGAGATACTAATAGACTTGCTATAAATCCACTCTTATAAGATTAATGTCACATGTGTCTTAAATTGTGCTTTGTTTAAGGTATGTGATCAAACATTTATCTCATGCATTTCTAATAGCTTTAAAGGATTATATACATCAATGCTTGCTTGAATTTTCGTAGGTACTGCAAGCCCAGCACACTCAACAGGGAAGGAAAGGGGCCACCATTAAGTTTATCATCATCATTAGTAGTATTTATATAAATGTAGATAGATTTTTTTGTGCTTTTCACAGGAATAAAAATAGAACAGGAAGAAACAAATCTTAGGAGTCTCATGACAATCCAGCATAAGCTGATTAAAGACAACCATTCAATGTAAAATCTCCAATAAACCATTTAGTACTCAACAATGCATACTTATATTAGTCATCAACAGATCTAAATAGATCATCTCTATGCTAATATGGTCTAAGGTCAACAATGCATACTTATCATCTATCCTAA